ATCAATATCATTAATATCAATATCAATATCGTTATTGATGACGTGCATGAGGGGATCGAGCCGTTCATCAATCAGTTTATATTGATAATATTGATATCAATCCGGTTATTGATGACACGGACACGGGGGTGGCATCGATTATTAGTAAGTTTATTAGCATCAATATCAATGTCATCAATATCAATATCAATGTCAATATCAATATCATTAATATCAATATCAGTATCAATATCATTAATATCCATATCAATATCAGTATCATTAATATCAGTGTCAATATCATTAATATCAATATCAATGTCAATATCAATATCATTAATATCAATATCAATATCAATGTCGATATCAATACCAATATCATTAATATCAATGTCAATATCAATATCGATATCAATATCATCAATATCAATATCACTGAATATCAATATCAGTATCATTAATATCAATATCAATATCATTAATATCAATGTCAATGTCAATATCAATATCAATATCAATATCAATATCAATATCAATATCGTTAATATCAATATCAATATCGTTATTGATGACGTGCATGAGGGGATGGGGCCGTTCATCGATCAGTTTAATATTGATAATATTGATATCAATCTGGTTATTGATGACACGGACACGGGGGTGGCATCGATCATTAGGCAGTTTATTATCATCAATATCGATATCAATGTCAATATCAATATCAATATAATTAATATCAATGTCAATATCAATATCAATATCAATATAATTAATATCAGTGTCAATATCAATATCATTAATATCAATATCAAAATCAATATCAATATCAATATCAGTGCGGTTATTGATGACACAGGGAGAGCCTGGCTCTGTCCGTCAGTCTCTGAATTCTGGGATTCTGCGAACTCTGGAAATTCTGCAATTCTGTGAATTTCCTGAATTCTGCAATTCTGTGAATTCCCTGAATTCTGCAATTCTGTGATTCCCTGAATTCTGGGATTCTGTGATTCCCTGAATTCTGCAATTCTGTGATTCCCTGAATTCTGCAATTCTGTGAATTTCCTGAATTCTGCAATTCTGTGATTCCCTGAATTCTGCAATTCTGTGATTCCCTGAATTCTGGGATTCTGTGATTCCCTGAATTCTGCAATTCTGTGAATTCCCTGAATTCTGCAATTCTGTGATTCCCTGAATTCTGCGATTCTGTGAATTACCTGAATTCTGCAATTCTGTGATTCCCTGAATTCTGCGATTCTGTGATTCCCTGAATTCTGCGATTCTGTGATTCCCTGAATTCTGCAATTCTGTGAATTCCCTGAATTCTGCGATTCTGTGATTCCCTGAATTCTGCGATTCTGTGATTCCCTGAATTCTGCAATTCTGTGATTCCCTGAATTCTGCAATTCTGTGAATTTCCTGAATTCTGCAATTCTGTGATTCCCTGAATTCTGCAATTCTGTGATTCCCTGAATTCTGGGATTCTGTGATTCCCTGAATTCTGCAATTCTGTGATTCCCTGAATTCTGCGATTCTGTGAATTCCCTGAATTCTGCAATTCTGTGAATTTCCTGAATTCTGCAATTCTGTGATTCCCTGAATTCTGCAATTCTGTGATTCCCTGAATTCTGCAATTCTGTGATTCCCTGAATTCTGGGATTCTGTGATTCCCTGAATTCTGCAATTCTGTGAATTCCCTGAATTCTGGGATTCTGTGATTCCCTGAATTCTGCAATTCTGTGAATTCCCTGAATTCTGGGATTCTGTGATTCCCTGAATTCTGCAATTCTGTGAATTCCCTGAATTCTGCAATTCTGTGATTCCCTGAATTCTGCGATTCTGTGAATTTCCTGAATTCTGCGATTCTGTGATTCCCTGAATTCTGCAATTCTGTGATTCCCTGAATTCTGGAATTCTGTGATTCCCTGAATTCTGCGATTCTGTGAATTCCCTGAATTCTGCGATTCTGTGAATTTCCTGAATTCTGCAATTCTGTGAATTTCCTGAATTCTGCAATTCTGTGAATTCCCTGAATTCTGCAATTCTGTGATTCCCTGAATTCTGGGATTCTGTGATTCCCTGAATTCTGCAATTCTGTGAATTCCCTGAATTCTGCGATTCTGTGAATTCCCTGAATTCTGGGATTCTGTGATTCCCTGAATTCTGCAATTCTGTGAATTCCCTGAATTCTGCAATTCTGTGAATTCCCTGAATTCTGGGATTCTGTGAATTCCCTGAATTCTGCAATTCTGTGAATTTCCTGAATTCTGCAATTCTGTGAATTCCCTGAATTCTGGGATTCTGTGAATTCCCTGAATTCTGCAATTCTGTGAATTTCCTGAATTCTGCGATTCTGTGAATTCCCTGAATTCTGGGATTCTGTGATTCCCTGAATTCTGCGATTCTGTGATTCCCTGAATTCTGGGATTCTGTGATTCCCTGAATTCTGCAATTCTGTGATTCCCTGAATTCTGCGATTCTGTGATTCCCTGAATTCTGCAATTCTGTGAATTTCCTGAATTCTGCAATTCTGTGATTCCCTGAATTCTGGGATTCTGTGAATTCCCTGAATTCTGCGATTCTGTGATTCCCTGAATTCTGCAATTCTGTGAATTCCCTGAATTCTGCAATTCTGTGAATTCCCTGAATTCTGCAATTCTGTGAATTTCCTGAATTCTGCAATTCTGTGAATTTCCTGAATTCTGCGATTCTGTGATTCCCTGAATTCTGCGATTCTGTGATTCCCTGAATTCTGGGATTCTGTGAATTCCCTGAATTCTGCAATTCTGTGATTCCCTGAATTCTGCGATTCTGTGATTCCCTGAATTCTGCAATTCTGTGATTCCCTGAATTCTGCAATTCTGTGATTCCCTGAATTCTGGGATTCTGTGATTCCCTGAATTCTGCGATTCTGTGATTCCCTGAATTCTGCAATTCTGTGAATTTCCTGAATTCTGCGATTCTGTGATTCCCTGAATTCTGCAATTCTGTGAATTCCCTGAATTCTGGGATTCTGTGAATTCCCTGAATTCTGGGATTCTGTGATTCCCTGAATTCTGCGATTCTGTGATTCCCTGAATTCTGCGATTCTGTGATTCCCTGAATTCTGCAATTCTGTGAATTCCCTGAATTCTGGGATTCTGTGATTCCCTGAATTCTGCGATTCTGTGAATTCCCTGAATTCTGGGATTCTGTGATTCCCTGAATTCTGCGATTCTGTGAATTCCCTGAATTCTGCAATTCTGTGAATTTCTCTGAATTCTGGGATTCTGCGACCTCTGGAAATTCTGCAATTCTGTGAATTCCCTGAATCCTGAGGATTCTGGGAATCCTGGGAATTCTGTGACTCCGTGAATTCTCTGAATTCTCTGAATTCTCTGAATTCTGTGAATTCCCTGAATTCCAAGGATTCTGCGAATTCCGTGAATTCTGGAATTCTGCGATTCTGTGAATTCTGGGGATTGTCTGAATTCCGCAATTCTGTGACCTCTGTGAGTTCTGGGATTCGTGACGGGCCGCTATCGCGACAGACCGATATCGCGACGGGCCGCTATCGCCACGATCACGATGGGCCGCTATCGCGACGGACCGATATCGCCGCTTTCTGTCGCGACAAGCCAGTATCGCGACAGGCCACTATCGGCGGTATCGCGACATTCCGGTGTCGCCGCTGTCGTGACAGGTTGCTGTCCTGGCAGGAAGCTGTCGCGACAGTAACGGTCTGTCACCGGCTATCGCTGCTATCGCGACAGGCCAGTATTGCCACTGTCGCGACAGGCTGATATTGCAACAGGCCGCTATCGTGACAGGCTGATATCGCAACAGGCCACTATCGCGACAGGCTGATATCACCACAGGCCACTGTCGTGACAGGCTGATATCGCAACAGGCCACTATCGCGACAGGCTGATATCACCACAGGCCACTGTCGTGACAGGCTGATATCGCAACAGGCCACTATCGCGACAGGCTGATATCACCACAGGCCACTGTCGTGACAGGCTGATATCGCAACAGGCCGCTATCGCGACAGGCCGCTGTTGCCACTGTTGTGACAGGCCAGTGTCACAGCAGGCCAATATCGCCAATATCGCGACAGACTGATGTCGCCTGTATCATGACAGACTGCTGTCGTGACAGGCTGATGTCACCGCTATCGCGACAGGCCACTAGCACCACTATCGTGACAGGCCGGTGTCGCTGCTATCGCGACAGGCTGCTATCGTGACAGGCGGCTATGACAGGCCGGTATTGCCGCTATCGTGACAGGCCGGTATTGCTGCTATCACGACAGGCCGGTATTGCCACTATTGTGACAGGCCGGTATTGCTGCTATCGTGACAGGCTGCTATCGTGACAGGCGGCTACGACAGGCCGGTATTGCCGCTATCGTGACAGGCCGGTATCGCTGCTATCGCGACAGGCTGATATCAGTGCTATTGTGACAGCCGCTATCACGATAGCCTGGGGTCACCACTATCGTGACAGGCCACTATCGTGTCAGGCTGGTGTCACCGCTATCGTGACAGGGCACTATCGTGACAGGCCACTATCGTGACGGGCTGGTGTCACCATTATCGCAACAGGCCACTATCGTGACAGGGCACAATCGTGACAGGGCACTATCACGACAGGGCACTATCGTGACGGGCCGGTGTCACCGCTATCGCGACAGGGCACTATCGTGACAGGCCACTATCGTGACGGGCTGGTGTCACCACTATCGCGACAGGCCACTATCGTGACAGGGCACAATGGTGACAGGGCACTATCACGACAGGGCACTATCGTGACAGGCCGGTGTCACCGCTATCGCGACAGGGCACTATCGTGACGGGGCACTGTCCCCTCTCTCTCTCTCTCTCTCCCAGGCGCTGTCGCTGCTGCTGCTGCCGGCGCTGGGCCGCAGGGGGACGGCGACGGTGACGGGGACAGTGACGGGGACGGTGACAGGGACAGGGACAACGGCCACCAAGGACACCGCTGGCACCGCTGGCACCGCTGGCACCGCTGGCACCGCCGCCATGGAGGGCACAGCAGGGACAGCCCCGGGCGGCTCCTGCGGCTCCGGGAACGGCACCGCCGGGGGGGACACCGGGGACACCGGGGGGGACACCATGAGTGACACCGGGGAGCTCTCGGCCGCCTTCGTCACCTGCCCCAACCTCAGCGTGGCCACCGAGCTGGCCAGGTGACAGTGGGGACACCGAGGGGACACCGAGCTGGCCAGATGGGGACACTGAGGGGACACTGGGGAGCGCTGGGGACACCAGGGTGGCACTGGACACTGTCCCCAGGGGTGACACCCGGGCACTGCTGGCACCAGGGTGGCACTGTCCCCAGCGTGGCACTGTCCCCAGCATGGCACTGTCCCCAGGGTGGCACTGTCCTCAGGTGACACTCAGGTGACACAGGTGTCCCCACAGGTCCCTGGTGCAGCAGCGTTTGGGTGGGGTTGGTGACAGGTGACACACAGGTGACACGGGGGTGACACAGGTGACACAGGTGACACAGGGTGACACACACAGGTGACACTCAGGTGACACAGGTGACACAGGTGACACAGGGTGACACACACAGGTGACACAGGTGACACTGTCCCTGTCCCCAGGTCTCTGGTGCAGCGCCATTTGGGTGGGGTTGGTGACACGGGGTGACACACACAGGTGACACTCAGGTGACACACAGGTGACACTCAGGTGACACTCAGGTGACACAGGTGACACACAGATGACACAGGTGACACTCAGGTGACACACAGGTGACACAGGTGACACACACACAGGTGACACTCAGGTGACACAGGTGACACTCAGGTGACACAGGTGACACAGGTGACACACAGATATCACAGGTGACACAGGTGACACACAGGTGACACTCAGGTGACACTCAGGTGACACACACAGGTGACACTCAGGTGACACACAGGTGACACACAGGTGACACTCAGGTGACACAGGTGACACACAGATATCACAGGTGACACAGGTGACACTCAGGTGACACTCAGGTGACACACAGGTGACACACAGATATCACAGGTGACACTCAGGTGACACTCAGGTGACACAGGTGACACTCAGGTGACACACAGGTGACACACACAGATATCACAGGTGACACTCAGGTGACACTCAGGTGACACTCAGGTGACACAGGTGACACTCAGGTGACACACAGATATCACAGGTGACACTCAGGTGACACTCAGGTGACACTCAGGTGACACAGGTGACACTCAGGTGACACACAGATATCACAGGTGACACTCAGGTGACACTCAGGTGACACTCAGGTGACACAGGTGAGACTCAGGTGACACTCAGGTGACACAGGTGACACACAGATATCACAGGTGACACTCAGGTGACACAGGTGACACACAGGTGACACAGGTGACACAGGTGACACAGGTGACACACAGGTGACACACAGATATCACAGGTGACACTCAGGTGACACTCAGGTGACACAGGTGACACACAGATATCACAGGTGACACTCAGGTGACACTCAGGTGACACTCAGGTGACACACAGGTGACACACACAGGTGACACTCAGGTGACACAGGTGACACTCAGGTGACACTCAGGTGACACTCAGGTGACACTCAGGTGACACACAGATATCACAGGTGACACACAGGTGACACACAGGTGACACTCAGGTGACACAGGTGACACTCAGGTGACACACAGGTGACACAGGTGACACTCAGGTGACACAGGTGACACACACAGATATCACAGGTGACACTCAGGTGACACTCAGGTGACACTCAGGTGACACAGGTGACACACACAGATATCACAGGTGACACAGGTGACACAGGTGACACAGGTGACACACACAGGTGACACTCAGGTGACACACAGATATCACAGGTGACACAGGTGACACACAGGTGACACACAGATATCACAGGTGACACTCAGGTGACACTCAGGTGACACTCAGGTGACACAGGTGACACACAGATATCACAGGTGACACACACAGGTGACACTCAGGTGACACACAGGTGACACACACAGGTGACACTCAGGTGACACAGGTGACACACAGATATCACAGGTGACACAGGTGACACTCAGGTGACACTCAGGTGACACAGGTGACACACAGGTGACACACACAGGTGACACAGGTGACACACACAGGTGACACACACAGATATCACAGGTGACACACACAGGTGACACTCAGGTGACACACAGGTGACACACACAGGTGACACTCAGGTGACACAGGTGACACACAGATATCACAGGTGACACAGGTGACACTCAGGTGACACTCAGGTGACACAGGTGACACACAGGTGACACACACAGGTGACACAGGTGACACACACAGGTGACACACACAGATATCACAGGTGACACACACAGGTGACACTCAGGTGACACACAGGTGACACACACAGGTGACACTCAGGTGACACACAGATATCACAGGTGACACACAGGTGACACACAGATATCACAGGTGACACACAGGTGACACACACAGATATCACAGGTGACACACACAGGTGACACACACAGATATCACAGGTGACACACACAGGTGACACTCAGGTGACACACAGGTGACACACACAGGTGACACTCAGGTGACACACAGATATCACAGGTGACACACAGGTGACACACACAGATATCACAGGTGACACACACAGGTGACACACACAGGTGACACTCAGGTGACACAGCTGTCCCTGTCCCCAGGTCCCTGGTTCGGCACCGTTTGGCCGCCTGCGTGAACGTCATCCCCGGAGTGACCTCGGTGTGAGTGGGGACAGCGGGGACACAGTGGGGACAATGGGGACAATGGGGACAGTGGGGACAGTGGGGACAATGGGGACAGTGGGGACAATGGGGACAATGGGGACAGTGGGGACAGCGGGGACACAGTGGGGACACTGGGGACAATGGGGACACTGGGGACACTGGGGACAGCGTGGACAATGGGGACAATGGGGACAATGGGGACAGCGGGGACATTGGGGACAATGGGGACAGTGGGGACAATGGGGACATTGGGGACAGTGGGGACAATGGGGACAATGGGGACAGTGGGGACAATGGGGACATTGGGGACAGTGGGGACAATGGGGACAGTGGGGACAATGGGGACATTGGGGACAGTGGGGACAATGGGGACAGTGGGGACAATGGGGACAATGGGGACAATGGGGACATTGGGGACAGTGGGGACAGTGGGGACAGTGGGGACAATGGGGACACTGGGGACAATGGGGACAGGGGGGACAGCGGGGACACTGGGGACATTGGGGACAATGGGGACAATGGGGACAGCGGGGACAATGGGGACACAGGGGGGACAATGGGGACATTGGGGACAGCGCGGGGACACTGGGGACAATGGGGACAATGGGGGGACACTGGGGACAATGGGGGGACACCAGGAGGGACTGGGGACAGAGGGGACAGCGCGGGGAATGGGGACAGCAGGGACAGACAGGACAGAGGGGACAGGGACAGAGGGACACTGGGGACACATTGGGGACAGGGAGGGACACTGGGGACACACCGGGGACACATTGGGGACAATGGGACGCACTGGGGACACTGGGGGTGGCACTGAGGGGACAGGGGGACCTCAAGGGCATTGGGGACAGGGACGTTGGGAGTATTGGGGGACAGTGGGGACATTTGGGGACATTTGGGGACATTTGGGGACATTTGGGGGACACTGAGGGATTAAAGGGAGTTGGGGACATTGGGGACACGGGGACACGGGGACACAGGGACGGGGCGGTGCCACCGCGGTGTCCCCGCTGTCCCCAGTGTCCCCAATGTCCCCATTGTCCCCACTGTCCCCAATGTCCCCAATGTCCCCACTGTCCCCAATGTCCCCAATGTCCCCATTGTCCCCACTGTCCCCACTGTCCCCATTGTCCCCAATGTCCCCAGTGTCCCCACTGTCCCCACTGTCCCCACTGTCCCCACTGTCCCCACTGTCCCCATTGTCCCCAATGTCCCCAGTGTCCCCATTGTCCCCACTGTCCCCATTGTCCCCAATGTCCCCACTGTCCCCAATGTCCCCGCTGTCCCCAGGTACACGTGGCAGGGCCGGCTGGAGGAGGACAGCGAGGTGCTGCTGGTGAGTGACGCCGCCGTCCCCAAATGTCCCCAAATGTCCCCAGGGTGTCCCTGGGGTGCCCCCATCATCCCCAGTGTCCCCAGGGTGTCCCCAAAGTGTCCCCAAGGTGTCCCCAAGGTGTCCCTGGGGTGCCCCCGTCATCCCCAGTGTCCCCAGGGTGTCCCCAGTGTCCCCAGGGTGTCCCCGGTGCCACCAACGGTGTCCCCAATGTTCTCCGATGTCCCCCGGTGTCCCCCCCAGGGTGTCCCCAGGGTGTCCCCAATGTCCCCAGCGGTGTCCCCGATGTCCCTGGAGTGTCCCCAAATGTCCCCAAATGCCCCCAGTTCCACAATGTCTCCCAATGACGTCCCCAAGGTGTCCCCGATGTCCCCAGCGATGTCCCCAAGGTCCCCAATGCCCCTGAAATGTCCCCGGGGTGTCCCCAGTGATGTCCCCAATGATGTCCCCGGTGTCCCCTCCCTGTGCCCAATGTCCCCAAGGTGTCCCCAGTGTTGTGCTCAGCGTGTCCCCAATGTCCCCAATGTCCCCAATGTCCCTTCAAAGTCCCCAAGGTGTCCCCAGTGTCCCCCCCAAAGTCTCCAAATGTCCTCAAGTTGTCCCCAATGTCCCCACAATGTCCCCAAGGTGTCCCCCAGTGATGTCCCCAACGTCCCCAATGATGTCCCCTCCCTGTCCCCAGTGATGTCCCCAAGGTGTCCCCAGTGTCTGCAGTGTCCCCAATGATGTCCCCAATGATGTCCCCTCGCTGCTGTCCCCAGTGTGTCGCCAGTGTCCCCAAGGTGTCCCCAATGTCCCCAATGTCCCAAATACTCCCAATGATGTCCCCAGTGTCCCCGTTGTCCCCAATGTCCCCCCAATGTCCCCCAAGGTGTCCCAATGTCCCCAGTGTCCCTTTACTGTCCCCCATGTGTCCCCAACCCCCCATTGATGTCCCCAATGTCCCCCCAATGTCCCCATTGATGTCCCCAATGTCCCCAAGGGTGTCCCCAGTGTCCCCAACATCCCCAAGGTGTCCCCAGGGTGTCCCCAAGGTGTCCCCAATGCCCCCAATGTCCCCAAGGTCTCCCCAAGGTGTTCCCACTGTTGTCCCCAATGTCCCCATTGATGTCCCCAATGTCCCCAACACCCACAATGTCCCCAAGGTGTCCCCAATGTCCCCATTGATGTCCCCAAGGTGTCCCCAGGGTGTCCCCAAGGTGTCCCCCAACACCCACAATGTCCCCAAGGTGTCCCCAATGTCCCCATTGATGTCCCCAGGGTGTCCCCAAGGTGTCCCCAGGGTGCCCCCAAGGTGTTCCCCACTGTCCCCAGTGTCCCCACTGTCCCCAATGTGTCCCCATTGTCCCCACTGTCCCCGCTGTCCCCACTGTCCCCCACTGTCCCCCGCTGTCCCCAATGTCCCCACTGTCCCCAATGTCCCCATTGTCCCCACTGTCCCCGCTGTCCCCCACTGTCCCCACTGTCCCCGCTGTCCCCAATGTCCCCACTGTCCCCAATGTCCCCATTGTCCCCATTGTCCCCACTGTCCCCGCTGTCCCCACTGTCCCCACTGTCCCCAATGTCCCCAATGTCCCCACTGTCCCCACTGTCCCCGCTGTCCCCACTGTCCCCGCTGTCCCCAATGTCCCCACTGTCCCCAATGTCCCCATTGTCCCCATTGTCCCCACTGTCCCCACTGTCCCCCAATGTCCCCACTGTCCCCAATGTCCCCAATGTCCCCAATGTCCCCACTGTCCCCACTGTCCCCAATGTCCCCAATGTCCCCGCTGTCCCCACTGTCCCCCCAATGTCCCCAATGTCCCCACTGTCCCCACTGTCCCCCAATGTGTCCCCAATGTCCCCAATGTCCCCAATGTCCCCAATGTCCCCGCTGTCCCCAATGTCCCCACTGTCCCCACTGTCCCCAATGTCCCCACTGTCCCCACTGTCCCCAATGTCCCCGCTGTCCCCAATGTCCCCAATGTCCCCAATGTCCCCATTGATGTCCCCGCTGTCCCCAGATGATCAAGACCCGCAGCTCCCGGGTGCCGGCGCTGAGCGACTTCGTGCGGTGGGGGACGGGCTGGGGATGGGGGATGGGGGGTTTGGGGGTCCCGGGGGGGTTTGGGGGGGCCCTGGGGGGGGTTTGGGGGGTCCTGGGGGGGTTTGGGGGGTCCTGGGGGGGTTTGGGGGTCCCAGGTGGATTTTGGGGGGGTCTTGGTGGATTTTGGGGGGATCTTGGGTGGGCTTGGGGGCAGATTTGGGGGGTCCTTGGGGGATTTGGGGGGTCCCAAGGGGGATTTGGGGGGGCCTGGGGGGGGTTTGGGGGGGTCCCAAGGGGGATCTGGGGGGGCCTGGGGGGGATTTTGGGGGCTCTGGGGGGGATTTGGGGGGTCCTGGGGAGGGTCCTGGGGGTTTGGGGAGATTTTGGGGGTCCCCAGGGCAGTTTTGGGGGTTCCAGGGGGGATTTGGGGGTCCTGGGGGGATTTGGGGGGATCTTGGGTGGGCTTGGGGCAGATCTGGGGGGTCCTCTGTGGGATTTGGGGGGTCCCGGGTGGGATTTTGGGGGATCCTGGGGGGAATTTAGGGGGGTCCCAGGTGGGATTTTGGGGGGTCTTGGTGGATTTTGGGGGCATCTTGGGTGGGCTCGGGGCAGATCTGGGGGGTCCTTGGGGCATTTGGGGGATCCTGGGGGCAGATTTGGGGGGTCCCAGGGCTGTTTTGGGGGGTCTTGGGGAGATTTTGGGGGGGTCCCAGGTTGGATTTTGGGGGGTCCCAGGGAGAATTCAGGACGGTCTTTGAGGGATTTGGGGGGGGCACTGGGGGATTTGGGGGTCTCAGGTGGGATTTTGGGGGGCCCTGGGGGGGGTTTGGGGGGTCCCAGGGCAATTTTCGGGGTCTGGGGGAGGGATTGGGGCTGATTTTGGGGGTCCCTGGGGGATTTGGGGGATCCTGGGGGGGATTTTGGGGGGTCCTCAGTGGGATGGGAGCAGATTTTGGGGGGGTCCCAGGGCTGTTTTGGGGGATCTTGGGGGTTTTGGGGGGTCCTGGGGGTCTGGGGAGATTTTGGGGGGTCCCAGGTGGGATTTTGGGGACTCTGGGGGGGACTGAGGTGGAATTTGGGGGGTCCCAGGGCTGTTTTGGGGGGTCCTGGGGCATTTTTGGGGCTCCCAGGGAAAATTTCGGAAGGTGCTTGGGGGATTTGGGGGGTCCCAAGGGGGATGCTGGGGGGTCCTTGGAGGATTTTGGGGGTCCCAGAGGAGGTTTTGGGGGGTCCCTGGGGGGGGTCTTGGGATTTTTGGGGATCTTTGGGGGATTTGGGGGGTCCTGGGGGGGATTAGGGGGTCCCAGGGCTGTTTTGGGGGGCTCTTGGGGGATTTTGGGGGGATTTGGGGGATCCCAGATGGGATTTGGGGGATCCCAGGGCTGTTTTGGGGGGTCCTGGGGGATTTTGGGGGGATTTGGGGGATCCCAGATGGGATTTGGGGGATCCAGGGCTGTTTTGGGGGGCTCCTGAGGGATTTTGGGGGTCCCAGATGGGATTTGGGGGATCCCAGGGCTGTTTTGGGGGGGGTCCTGAGGGATTTTGGGGGTCCCAGATGGGATTTGGGGGGTCCTGGGGGGTTCTTGGGGGATTTGGGGGGGTCCCCAGGGCAGTTTTTGGGGAGGATTTCGGGGTTCTCAGGATTTTGGGGTGCCCGAGTGGGATATTGAGGATCTTGGGGTTCCCGGGTTGGGTTTTGGGGTTCCCGAGTTGGATTTTGGGGTCCCCCAGGTTGCCCCCACCCCTACGAGGTGCCCTGGGGGGATTTTGGGGTTCCCGGGGCCGTTTTGGGGGGGGATTTTGGGGGGATTTTTTGGGTTTTGGGGGGATTTTGGGGTTCCCGAGTTGGGGTTTGGGGTGACCAAGGTGGTTTTGGGGTTCCCGGGTTGGATTTTGGGGTTCCCGAGATTGTTTGAGGTTCCTGAGTTGGGATTCGGGGTTTCCAAGTCGGATTTTGGGGTTCCCCGGGTTGGGTTTTGGGGGTGACCAAGGTGGTTTTGGGGTCTCCAGGTGCCTTGGGGGGATTTTGGGGGTTCCAAGGCTGTTTTGGGGGGGGGGGGGTTGGGGATTTTGGGGGGATTTTGGGGTTCCTGAGTTGGGTTTTGGGGTTCCCGAGATTGTTTGGGGTTCCCGAGATTGTTTGGGGTTCCCGAGTTGGATTTTGGGGTTCCTGAGTTGGGTTTTGGGGTTCCCGAGATTGTTTGGGGTTCCCAAAGTTGGATTTTGGGGGTTCCCGAGTTGGATTTTGGGGTTCCTGAGTTGGATTTTGGGGTTCCTGAGTTGGGTTTTGGGGTTCCCGAGATTGTTTGGGGTTCCCCAGTTGGGTTTTGGGGGTTTCGGGCGGTTCCCGAGATGATTTCGGGGTTCCCGAGCCGGGTTTGTGTCCCCAGGTGCCCCCACCGGGCCATTTTTTTGGGGGGGATATTTTGGATTTTGAGAAGGATTTTGGGGGTTCCCAAGTGGGATTTTGGGATTTTTGGTGTTCCTGAGTTGGATTTTGGGGTTCCCGGGTTGGATTTTGGGGTACTCCTGTGGTTGGATTTTGGGGTTCCCGAGTTGGGTTTTGGGGTACCCGAGTTGGGTTTTGGGGGTACCCGAGTTGGATTTTGGGGGTTCCTGGGTTGGATTTTGGGGTTCCCGAGTTGGGTTTTGGGGTTCCCGAGTTGGATTTTGGGGGTACCCGAGTTTGGATTTTGGGGGTTCCTGGGTTGGATTTTGGGGTTCCCGAGTTGGGTTTTGGGGTTCCCGAGTTGGGTTTTGGGGTTCCTGGGTTGGATTTTGGGGGTTCCCGAGTTGGATTTTGGGGTTCCCGAGTTGGATTTTGGGGTTCCCGAGTTGGGTTTTTGGGGTCCCCCGGGTGCCCCCACCCTTAAAAGGTGCCTGAGAGGGTTTGGGGACCATTTTTGGGGGGGATTTTGGGATTTTGAGGGGGATTTTTGGGATTTTGGGGTTTTTGCTGTTCCCCGGGTTGGATTTTGGGGTACCCGGGTTGGATTTTGGGGTTCCCGGGGTTGGATTTTGGGGTTCCCGGGTTGGATTTGTGTCCCCAGGAGCCCCCACCCGTACGAGGTGCCCAAAGGGGGTTTTGGGGTTCCCTGGGCCGGTTTGGGGGGAAATTTGGGGATTTTGGGGTTCCCGAGTTGGATTTTGGGGTTCCCAGGATGATTTTGGGGTTCCTGAGGTGGAGTTTGGGGTGACCAAGGTGATTTTGGGGTCCCCAGGAGCCCCCACCTGTCCGAGGTGCCCTGGGGCAGGTTGGGGTTCCAGGGCCGTTTTTGGGGGGGGATCTTTGGGATTTTGGGGTTCCTGAGTCGAATTTTGGGGTTTTGGGGGTTTTGGGGTTCCTCAGTTGGGATTTGGGGTGACTGAATTGGACTTTTGGGATTTTGGGGGTTCCCGAGTTGGGGTTTGGGGTTCCCAAGTTGGATTTCGGGGTTCCTGAGTTGGATTTTGGGGTCCCCCAGGTGCCCCCACCGGGGCCATTTTTGGGGGGATATTTTGGATTTTGTGAGGGATTTTGGGGATTTTGAGAAGGATTTTGAGGAGGTTTTGGGGGTTCCCGAGTTGGGCTTTGGGGTTCCTGGGTTTGGTTTTGGGTTTTTTGGGGTTCCTGAGGTGATTTTGGGGTTCCTGAGTTGTGTTTTTGTCCCTGGCTGCCCCCCACCCTTAAAAGGTGTCCGAGGGGGTTTGGGGACCATTTTTGGGTGGGATTTTGGGGATTTTGAGGGGGATTTTTGGGGTTTTTGGGGGTTCCCCGGGTTGGATTTTGGGGTTCCCGGGTTGGATTTTGGGGTTCCCGAGTTGGGTTTTTGGATTTTGGGGTTTTTGGGGTTCCCGAGTTGGGTTTTTGGTGTTCTGTGTCCCCAGGAGCCCCGACCCGTCCGAGGTGCCCGAGGGGGTTTTGGGGTGCCCAGGGCCGGTTTGGGGAGGGGATTTTGGGGGGAATTTCTGGGATTTTGGGGTTCCTGAGTTGGGTTTTTGGGATTTTGGGGTTCCTGAGTTGGGTTTTTGGATTTCTGGGATTTTGGGGTTCCTGAGTTGGGTTTTGGGGGTGACCAGGTTTGTTTGTGTCCCCAGGAGCCACCACCCGTCCGAGGTGCCCGAGGGGGTTTGGGAGCCGTTTTTGGGGGGCATTTGGGGGATTTTGAGGGGGATTTTTGGGATTTCGGGTTTTTGGGGTTCCCGAGTTGGGTTTTGGGGTTCCTGAGTTGTGTTTTCGGGTTTGTTTGTGTCCCCAGGAGCCACCACCCGTACGAGGTGCCCGAGGTGGTGGCGCTGCCGGTGGCGCAGGGGAACCCGCCGTACCTGCGCTGGGTGCGCGACAGCGTGCCCCCCTGAGGCACCCCCAAAAACGGCCAAAAAACAGCCCGAAAACACCCCAAAAACCGCCCCAAATCCCACCCCGAGACACCCCAAAAACGGCCAAAAAACAGCCAAAAAACACCCCAAAAACCGCCCCGAGACACCCCAAAAACAGCCCCAAATCCCCCCCCTGAGGCACCCCAAAATCGGCACAAAAACACCCCAAAACCAGCCCCAAAACCAGCCCCAAAAATGGCACAAAAACACCCCAAAAACTGCCCCAAATCCCCCCCGAGACACCCCAAAAACAGCCCCAAATCCCCCCCTGAGGCACCCCAAAATCGGCACAAAAACACCCCAAAACCAGCCCCAAATCCTCTCCCTGAGACACCCCAAAAACCGCCCGAGGACACCCCAAAAACAGCCCCAAACCCACCTCAAAATCCACCCCCCCCAAAAAATCCCAAAATACGAAAAACCCCCCCAAAACCTCCCAAAAATCCCCCATAAAACCCCAAGAATCCCCCAAAAAATTCCCCACAAAAAACCCCAAATCCCCCCAAAATTCCCAAAACTCTCCCCCAAAAATCTCCCCAAAAGCCCCCCCAAAACCTCCCAAAAATGGCCCCCAAAACCCCCCCAAAAATCACCCCAAAAACCACCCCAAAACACCCCCAAAAAAATCCCCAAAAATCCTCCAAACCAGCCCCAAAAAATCCCCCCAAAAACCGAACAAAAAAAAATCCCCCCAAAAACCCCAAAAATCCCCCCCAAAAACAGAAAAAAAAAATCCCCCCCAAAAAACCCAAAAGCCCCAAAATTTCCAGGGGGACCCCAAAATCCCGCGGGGGGGGGAGGGGCTGGGTGTGGCAATAAAGAGCAGAAAACCCCAAATTTGGGGGGGGTTCGTTTGGGGTCGGGGGGACCCCAAAAATTTGGGGGGGATTGAGGAGGGGGTGACCCCATAATTTGGGAGGGGGGGAAAGGGCGGGAATCCCAAAATTTGGGGGGAGGAAAGGGGTGGGAACCCCAAAAATTGGGGGGGGGGGGAACCCCAAAAATCTGGAGGGGGAAGGGAGAGACCCCGAAATTGAGGAGGGAATTGAGGGGAAAGCCCCAAAATTTGGGGGGGGAAAAAGGGGCGGGAACCCCAAATTTGTGGGGGGCGGGGCCCACAGAATTTGGGGGAGGGGCGTCCCTAAAATTGGGGGGGGACCCCAAAATTTGGGAAGGAAACCCCAAAGTGACCCGGAGCCGCTGCTGGAGCCGTTTATTGGGGGAGGAAGTGAGGCCACGCCCACCCAGGCCACGCCCACCCAGGCCACGCCCACTCCCAACCCACCCGGAAGTGGGGAAATACAAAATTTTCCCCCCAAAATTTGGGGTTCGGGGGGGGTTGGGGGAAGGGCCCCCAAATTGGGGGGGGGGCGGGGCTTGAGGTGGCCCCGCCCCCTCCCGAGGCCCCGCCCCCTCCTCGGGCTGCTCTAAAGTGCCAAAAATGAAAATTTTCCACCCAAAATTTTGGGGGTTTTTTTTGGGGATTGGGAACCCCCCCAAAATTTTTGGGGCTGGGGTTCCCTAAAAAGAAAAAGGGGCGTGGTCAGAGGTGGCCACGCCCCCTCCAGGCCACGCCCCTTCTCTTATTCCCACTTAAATAATCTTGGAAGTGACAAAAATAAAGATTTGTATCCCAAAATTTTTGGGGATTTTGGGGCTGGGACCCCCAAATTTTTGGGGAGGGGTTCTTTAAGAATTTGGGGCGTGGTCACATGGAGCACGCCCCCTCCAGGCCACGCCCCTTCTCTCTATTTAAATACTCTCTAAAGTGACAAAAATCAAGAATTTCCACCCAAAATTTTGGGGGTTTTGGACTGGGACCCCCCAAATTTTTAGGGTGGGGTCATCTAAAATATGAGGGCGTGGTCAGAGGAGGCCACGCCCCCTCCAGGCCACGCCCCTTCTCTTATGCTCCCATTAAATCTCCTCTAAAGTGACAAAAATAAAGATTTTTATCCAAAATTTGGGATTTTTGGGGGCTGGGACCCCAAAATTTTTAGGACGGGGTCTCCTAAAATTAAGGGGCGTGGTCAGTTGTAGCCACGCCCCTTCCTGGCCACACCCCCTTCTCTTTTTTGCTGTTAAATACTCTCCAAAGTGACAAAAATAAAGATTTTTACCCCAAAATTTCCAGATTATTGGGGGTGAGACCCCAAAATTTTTGGGGTGAGGGTCCTTAAATATTCTGGGCGTGGTCAGAGGAGGCCACGCCCCTTTCAAGCCACGCCCCTTCTCTATTTTCCCGTTAAATGCTCTCTAAAGTGCCAAAAATAAAGATTTTTATCCCAAAATTTTGGGGTTTTTGGGGCTGGGACCTCAAATCTTTGGGAGTGGAGTCCCCCAAAATTGGGGGCGTGGTCAGATGTAACCACGCCCCTCCAGGCCACGCCCCTGGCTATTTATCCCATTAAATGCTCTCTAAAGGGACAAAAATAAAGATTTTTATCCCAATATTTTGGGATATTTTGGGGCTGGGACCCTCCAAATTTTTGGAGGTGGGGTCCCTAAAAATTGGGGGCGTGGCCAGGACGAGGCCACGCCCCCCTCACCGGCCACGCCCCTCCTCTTATTCTCCTTTACCTCTCCCCTAAAGTGCCAAAATTGAAGATTTTCCGCCCAAAATTTTGGGGGTTTTGGGGCTGGGATCCCAAATTTTGGGGGGGGGGGGGGGGATGTCCCCAGATTTGGGGGGCGTGGTCAGAGGAGGCCACGCCCCCTCCTGCAGCCTCTCTCCCGCTGTACATCTCCCCTAAAGTGCCACAAATGTCGATTTTCCACCCAAAATTGTTGAATTTTGGGGGTGACTCCCCAAATTTTTGGGGGGTGGGGTCCTCCAAAATATGGGGGCGTGGTCAGAGGAGGCCACGCCCCCCTCCTCCGCTTTAAATCCCCCCTAAAGTGCCACAATTGAAGATTTTCCACCCAAAATTTTGGGATTTTGGGGTGGCACCCCCAGAATTTCGAAGGGGGCGTGTCCCCAAATAAATTGGGCGTGGTCAGAGGTGGCCCCGCCCACACCAGCGGCCCCTCCCCCCACATTCAATCCCCCCCAAAGTGCCACAACTGTCCATTTTCCACCCAAAATTTTGGGGGTTTTGGGGCTGGGACCCCCCCAAATTTTGGAAGGGGCGTGTCCCCAAGTCGGGTGGGCGTGGTCAGAGCGCGGCCACGCCCCCTCCTGCAGCCTCTCTCCCCATTTTAAACCTCCTTTAAAGTGCCAAAAATGAAGATTTTCCACCCAAGAATTTGGGGCTGAGACCCCAAAATTTTTGGGGTGGGGTCCCCTAAAATATGGGGGCGTGGTCAGAGGGGGCCACGCCCCCTCCTCCACTTTAAATCCCCCCCTAAAGTGCCACAATTGAAGATTTTCCACCCAAAATTTTGGGGATTTTGGGGTGGCACCCCCAGAATTTCGAAGGGGGCGTGTCCCAAATAAAGGGGGCGTGGTCAGAGGTGGCCCCGCCCACACCAGCGGCCCCTCCCCACACTTTAAATCCCCCCTAAAGTGCCACAAATGTCCATTTTCCACCCAAAATTTTGGGGGTTTTTGGGGCTGGGACCCCCCAAATTTTGGAAGGGGCGTGTCCCGAACTCGGGTGGGCGTGGTCAGAGCGCGGCCCCGCCCCCCCACTCCAGCAGGTACTGCACGGTCCCGTCCAGCGTCACCCGCCGCGCCAGGACCCGGGGGGGCGGGGCCTCGGCGGGGGGCGGGGCCTGTCCCGGGGACGGGGATTTGGTGGGGGGCGGGGCCTGGCCGGGGGGCGGGGCTTGTCCGCGGGGCGTGGCCTCGGGGTCCGGGTCCGGTGTGGGAGAGCTGGGGAGGGGAGAAACCAGTGAGGACCAGTACGGACCAGTACGGACCAGTACAAACCAGTATGGACCGGGATAAACCGGTATGGACCAGTATGGACTGGGATAAGCCGGTATGGACTGGGATAAACCAGTACGGACCAGTATAGACCAGTATGGACCA